GCGCCCCTCCTCAATTTTTGCTACCGATGAGGCCCTTCCTGGCCTCCGTTTGATACAATTTTTATATCACCGTGATCACCATTCTTTTCTCTACAGGTTGATCAGAGCCAAATCACCAAAACACGAACCTCGCCGGAGAGCCGCCGCACCCGAGAGCACCGCCGCCGGTAAGCTTCGGTTTTTCGTAATTTTTTTGGCCCCCCGAGGGCCCTAGGGTTGTTTTATCACAGGGACCGATGCAAGTGTGGTCGAATTCGGCCGAAAACGGCCAACCCGAGGTGAATCGCCGCTGCGTCGCTGAAGCACGGCGGAGCCACCGTGCCGGAATTGCGATATTGGCCGAAAGGGGCCCTGGGTCTAATTTGGGATTTTTTGGGATACATGCAGGTACCAGTAGTGTGTTTCAGTTCCCCGAGAAAAATTCAGAAAAATTAGGGACAGCTTGCAGGCGCACTGTAGAGCCGTATTCGGATCCCGAAACAAGTAAAGACCCCTCACCCTATTTTCTATCATGGTATTAAAGTTTAATAAATGATAAAACGGTATTTCATGAATCAATAGATGTGTGAAATTGTTTAAGGTCGCTAATGGAGTCCGAGTCTGGTGTGTTTGTCGGTCAGCTGTTGTTTGGCCTATTTTACAGTTTTAAATGCAGTATGAGGTCTGATGTTTTCATTTCATAGTTTCGTGTGCATATATCACTGTTTTATTGATTATGGGTTGAATGACTGAGAACCCGATGTTGTATGTTGTCTTGTTTGGCATGAATTACTAGTTGCTTGTTTGTGTGTGATTTGATGATGCTGACTGAGGAAAAAGGGAATGAAAGGTTATGTAAATTGATAATTGTATAATGTGGTCAGGCTGATAAGATATCCTGGGAGATGGTGGACGGACCGGGTCCGTAGGGAACCCTACTGGGATTGTGGTCTCTCATACCGGACGGGATATGGAGACCCTATGTGTTTTGGCGCCCATACCGGACGGGGTATGGGGACGGCCCGTTTCACCCTCATACCGGACGGGGTATTGAGGTTTATAGTTTTGACGCCCATACCGGATGGGGTATGGGGACAGCCCTGGAATCTGATTACAAGTGTTAAAGGTTCACGGGTAGCAGGACCCCTATGGATCCCCATGGATACTAGTAGGCTAGTAAATAAGGAAAAATATGTTGTGTAATGATTGAGATGTAAAAGGCGTGATAAGTATTATGTTATACAGTTCCTATGATTTCGTGATGATGATAATGTTATTGCCTTAGTATATTGTTTTATGAATTTCACCGAGGTAAGTGGATAGTAAAAGATTTTATTATTGATAAAAGAATTTGTTGTAAACTATGTTCCATTGGTCTTTTTGTGTTTTCTACCCACCTTTACCTCCGTGACGGTGAGATAGTGTGATGTCTTTACTGGGCTGGTGTAGCTCATTCCTTATTTAATCATTTCAGATCAGGAAGACATTGTTCCCGAGCCCGTTCCGCAGGAAGACGGCGAAGGGGACGCCTGAAGACTCCGTAATCATATTTATAGCTTTTATTTTCAAGTTTCTGTTTTAGTTAGTTTGTTCTTTTATACTTTGAGGACGTTTTTGGTTTTAGTGTAAAAGATGTTTAATCAAAATTTTTATTACGCTTCCGCATTTGACATTTTTAATACACATATTTCATTATAAAATTCTGGGACCATTACATCTCGTCTCTAATTTTTTTTTAAAAAATTTAATTAAATAAAAATAAATTAAATTAAATAATTAATTTAATAAAAAAATTATCAAAAACAGATTTTCGAGTTCGAATATTATATTTAATCTTATAAATTCGAGATTAAGATCTAAAGATAGATCCAACAAGTCAATTATCTTGTATGAATGTTATAATTGAACGAAAGCTTTATTTCAAAATTATATAAATATGCATTTTGACCAAACTAAAAGAAATTAAAAAATCGATTTAATTTACATAAGGTGTGGGATTGCTTATAAGTAAAAAAACACGTGGGAAGGACTTGGCACTTGCGCACTAAACGCCGCCATCCGATGCGTTTTTTTTATTCATAATTTCAATTGTAATTATAATTTTATTTTTAAATAAATTTTAAAAAACATTTACATGTCATTCGAAAACCTTTTTTCTTTATAGAATATTTCTCATTATTACTTCTAAATTAAATAAAAAGAAACAAAAAAAAAAAAATCAATTGCTTAAAAAGTATGTACTCATTACTTGAATTTTTTTATCCAAATAAAAAAAAAGAATTATCCCAATTGCTCCTTATGATTCATTCATTTTGACTTTATTCTTAATTTCATTATATAAAATTATTATTATCAACTTGTCCTTCAAACGTTTGTATACATGCAAATTTTCAACATGTCCTTTTTTCTTTAATAACGCGTTCTACGTATGTGTATATATATATATATATATATGTATGGTGGAATTAGTAAGAAAGTTAGTAGTGGGGAAAAGTAATCAAAGGGTTTAAAATTGGTTAAAAAATTAATTAATTTAAGGTTATAAAATTATTATATGTTTTCAAATACTCAAACCCCATCTAATCTTTTGCTTAATTTTTGTCTCATATTTCACACCATATACTATCTATGTAAATGGATTTTGACCCTCTTCATTTGATTATATATAATCCCACCATCCCACCCACCTAGTTCATACTAATTAATTCATAATTAAACATGGGTTGTAATGAATTTCATTGTAATTTGAAGTTTAATTTCGTCCATAATCACAATAAAAAAAAATATTGGGAATAAGTCTCGACCAACAACCCACTATTTGCTTCTACCAACTATCTCATATAATTTGTACTCGCTGTTTATAAATAATTTTTTTATCCAAAAAATATATAATTTATTCATTACTTTCAATAATATGTCAACTCTATACCTTTCTTTATATATAAGAATGTTATTATTTAATTTTTATATTTGAAATTTTCGGAGTAAGAACTAAAGATATAAGTTTGATGTGGGTTAACTAAAAGTGAATGACAATATCTTTAAATAATTTAATTTAATTATCTATTTTTAATTTAATATTATTTAGATTTTAATTTTGAAGATTAGATATTTTATTTAAATAAAAAATTAAAAAAAGTCACGAGATATATATATAATATTATAAATTATATATCCCATTTTATTATTTAAAATTAAAAAATTAATTATTTTTAATGCAAAAAGAATTTATTTTCGATTCTTTTGGTTCTGATTAGTTAACAATTGATCAAATTAAGTATGATTTGGTTTTAATTACTCAAATTTCAATTTAATTTTGTTTTAAACATAAGATATTTAATTTTAAGTGAATTTTACTAATTAGTAATAGATGACGTGATTCAATCAGAATATTTTATTCACTTTAATGGAGTTAAAATTATATATAATTAAATATATACATGATTTGTTCTTATTTAATTATAAGATATACTATTTAAAATATTCACTTTAAAACAAACATTTTATTAGTTGATATTATTTGTTGTTAAATTTATATCAAATTATTTTCTGAATCATTTAATTGGATTTAATAAGTGATTTTTTATTCAAAAAATGAAATTTTTGATTCATATCCATTAAACAAATATTGCACAGACATATATATATATATATATATGTAGAGAGAGAGAGGTTTACATATTAATAATTAGAGTGATAAAATAAAAAATTTCATACTCATTTACGAGTTAATGTGAGTTTAATCTTTTATTAATGACAAAATATTTCATAATTATAAGGATAATTTTTCTAAAGTTTCAGTTTCGAAATGGAAAATATTTGAAATAATTGCTCACGGGCTGGGCGTTAGTCGTTAAACTAAATCTTGTGGGCCTCCGGAAACGACGTCGTCGAATCTCCCTCGGAAATGTAACTGAAGTTTAAAAATTAATCCAAAATCAAAATATAAATACAAGATTCTTCCATCAACCATCTCCCCTCTTACGGAAAAAGAACAAAAAAAAAAAAAAACCCTTCATCTTCATCACCGTACACGACACTGTAACCGTCTCTACCAACTAGGGTTCCACTCCAATTCCCGGCAATCAAACATTGCATTAAATAACAAGAAGAGGTTTTACTTGACTTTGATTCGACTACAACTCCGAGAGTTGATCGATCCCTACTTTCTCATATTGCTGTTGTGAGTTTTTTCCTTACTTTCTATTTTGGGATTTCATTTTGGAACACGAATGAGAATCTCGATGAAGACGGATTTGGAATGTTTGAATTCGGAGGATTTGCAAAGTCGTTGAGAGTGAAGTCATGTTAAGTTCACTGTGATTCAGTTTAGGCTCGCTCTCATTTTTTTCGTTTCTGTTCGTCTCCTCCTTCATTTT